CTCTAATATGGACACCTCTCTAATATGGACACCTCTCTAATATGGACACCTCTCTAATATGGACACCTCTCTAATATGGACACCTCTCTAATATGGACACCTCTCTAATATGAACACCTCTCTAATATGGACACCTCTCTAATATGAACACCTCTCTAATATGGACACCTCTCTAATATGAACACCTCTCTAATACGCGGACAGTACCACAAAGCAAGCGACCGCTATAGCAAGCAACTCGATATATTTTTCAAAGAAAACTGAGAAAATTTAGGCCTAGTCGCGGCTTGCGAACAAACTGAACTGTTTAAACGAGTCATTTGAGGCTTATTTACGGGCAGTGGCTTATTTTCGCTCCTGTGAAATGGCTCCAGTATAGTTAAACACCAGTTTCAGTAGTTATTATAGACTTAATAACATTCAGTTTTTAGAAAACAATTTATAACGGCGAGACATATAAATTAAGTTTGTTTTCAAAATATACTTTAATTATACACGAGAGAAAACAGGTGACTCAAGCGATAAGTACGTTTCATCTTACAGCTAAATCAGGCACAAAACTCCATCCATCATGTATTAAGCTATACTGTTCATTAACTATACAAACTTTATTTACACTGGAAAGCTCTGCAAGCAGGCTATTATACTACTTAAAGGATCATGCAGTGAAGACCATTCATGAATAGTGTTACTACGGGAGAAAACCTAAACTAAATTATTGATAATGAAACTACAATTATTCATGCAGTTCGAGACGCAGCGGCCCAGTGATACAAGAAAAGGAAACCTTCATTAACCAAACTAAATTTATTAATACTGGATAACTCTATTGCAGTTCTAAATTGTTCTCCCAAGAGGTCCGTAAAAATTCCGGGAGAAAGGTTCAATAGTTTGTTGAAGAATACATAATAATGGTCGGACTGAGATTGGAATCGCGTCGACGTATTTTCATGTTTCTGACGACTTTCATTCCCTCGGTGCGTAGAATCTTGTTTTTCCAGAAAAAAATAAGCAGTTCAATGTGGAATTCATCGAGGACAAAGTTTTTAGACCAGAGCCGCTCAAGATTTAAATTATCAGACATCGCCGTTGTCTCCTTGCGGGTTCGAGGCCATTATCCCCAGCCCAATGGAGACGGACACTGGAATGGTCCATAGCACCAAAAAACAAGTAACTGCTAGCAAGCAACTGGTTTAGCAAGCGATTTTCAAAGAATCTCGGCAACAATGGATGATTAGTTGAAACCGCAAGCACGTCGCAACAAGACAAAAGCATTATCTTGTACGTGATAATGCATTATCTTGTACGTGATGCGTTTAAGACTTACGCAGTGTCTGGTCATACCTACTGTTTTCTATGGAAATTTACGATCTATAGATCGAAATTGGTTCGGTCAACGTATGCAAAGGTCTAATACAAAGTACATATCTAGTTCTCATAAAACATATGTAGTTATAAAATCATTAGTAATTCATGAAGAAAACTTCAAAAGAAATGAATGTTTAATGAATGTTTGTAAATCGCATAAAGATTTGTCCTGATTTACATAAACGTCAGCTTTGATTTTCTCGGCTTGGACAATGTTTATTTTTAAAATTAGTTCGCCAGTGAACTCATAAGATGGGTCGTTTTATAAGCACGATAAAACATTCGCATCCGATCTTTGTCTGATATACAAATTAACTCTCGCCTTCGGCTCGAGTTTTTATCATCAGATAAAGATCGGCTGCCCATGCCGGTGCACCTGATTCAGTATATAATTATTAGCATGCAGTTTTGGAAAACAATTTGGAAAAGTAGAGACATAGAAATGAAAGTTTATCAATCAATTTAAAAATATATTTTGATTATACACAAGAGAAAACAGCTGTCTCGAGCGACAAGCACGTTTCATCTTATCGCCGAGTCATGCAAAAATTCGGCAAAAGTCGATCGTGTGTTAGACTAAAACTGTTCATTATAAGTATAGATTGATTATAACTTTATTTTTGCTGGAGAGCTCTATTAGTTATAAATTGTGTGCTTTAAAGTTTCAGTAAGGACCATTCACTATTCATGAACAAAGGCTGTATAGTGGCCTTATTAATGATTGGTCCATCAACCCCCTATAATTCACAGCGATGTACAAGATTTTAAAATTTTAAAATTGACGACCGCAGTGGCGCAGTGTATAATGATGACATATTTTAAAGTTATACAAAGTGCATAGCTAGTTCTCATAAAACATATATAGTTAAACATCTGTTTCAGTATAGTTATTAGCATGCAGTTTAGGAAAACAACTTGAGAAGGAGAGACAAATAAAGACTTTTAATCAGCTGTCGGTCAATTTCAAAGTATATTTTAATTATATACGAGAGAAAACAGGTGACTCAAGCAACAAGCATGCACGTTTCATCTTATCGCTATCGAGAGTATAGGTCCAACAAAAAAGTCCATCATGTATGTTATTACAATGAAAGACAAATCCGTGGGAAATTGGTAGCCAAGTATTGCTTCGATGTCCTTAATTTATAGGCAAATTTTGATCAATTATATAATTCCAATTCTTATAATTCTATTCTTCAAGTTCCGTTAAATTGTTCGATAACTGATTGTTCGCTTTAAGCAAGGACATTATTAATGAATACAACCAGTGTTATACCACGGCCTATGTGACATGATTGGTCTCGATTGGTCTATTAATTCCACATGATTGTTCTTGACGTTCAGTATAAGGACCATTCATTTATGAGCCAGCGGCCCAGTAATACTAGAAAAGAAAACCTTAACTAAATGTCTAAACCAACTTTATTGACACTGGATAACTCTATCAGTAGTCTAAACCAGAGGCAGAGTACTCTCACGAGGTCCATTTTGCAATGCGAAAAGTCGTGCCGGCGAAAGTCCACGGTTCAATATATCAGTTTGCCGAAAAATGCTTAATGGTCGGACTGGGATCGGATTCGTCGACATATTTTAATGTTTTTGATAACTTTCATTCCCTCGGTACGTAAAATCTTGTTTTTCCAGAAAAAGATTAAGCAGTTAAATGTGGAATTCATTGCACCTATGGTTGAAGCCCAAAGTC